TGGGCTTTTAGTTGTTGGAAGTTTTTAGATTAGTAAATTCAATATTGCCATACATCTACCCAGATTTTCTATTTCTCCTTGAGTTGCTTTTGATACTTTGTTTTTATAACTTTTTGTAAATTTCATCTAGATTGTCTACTATTCATAGAATTGTTGTCCTTTTTATTTCTAGTACGTTTAGTAGTGGTGTCTCTTCTTTCATACCTGATTTTAGTAATTTGAGTCTTCTTTTTTTCTTGGTCAGTCACATAAAGAGTCTTTTTTTTTTTTTAAATCTTTTCAAAGAACTAACTTTTGGTTAAGTTTCTCTATCATTTTTCTATTCTCTATTTTCTTTATGCTATTTTGTTTCCTTCCTTCTTGCATTAGGTTTAGTTTGCTCTTTTTTTCTGGTTTCTTAAGGTATAAGGTTACTATTTCTGCCTCTTTAATGTAGGCTATCTGTAAATTTCCCTCTAATCACTGTTTTTACTGCATTTCATAAGATTCGGTATGTTGTTTCATACCAAACTTTCATTCCTCTCGAAGTATTTTCTGATTTCCTTTGTAATTTCTTCTTTGACCCACTGGTTATTTAGGAGTATATTGTTTCACATATTTGTGCATTTTCAAATTTTCATTTTGTCATTAATTTCTTTTCATTATGATTGGAAACATATTTTGTATGATTTAAATTTTTTAATTTATTGAGACTTGTATCGTGGCCTAAAATATGGCCTATCTTTGAGAGTGTTTCATGCGTATTTGAGAGGATTGTGTGTTCTGCTGTTGTTGTGTATTCCATGGATGCCTGTTAGAGCTACCTGATTTATAGTATTTTCCACGTGTTCTATTTCCTTGCTATTCTGTAACCTTTTGTTGATTTGAATTATTGTGTAGTGTCCTTTCATTTAAGCCCCAAGGACTCCATTTAGTACTCATTTAGGGCAAGTTTGCTAGCAGGAAACTCTCAGCTTTTGTTCCCAGTTTGTAGCTTTTGGTTGTAGTTTGTTCGTAGTTTTGTTCATCTAGGAATGTCTTAATTTAGCCTATATTTTCAGACAGTTTTGTTGGATATAGAATTCTATGCTAATTTGATTTTTTTTTTTTAATTTCAGCACTTTGAATATAGCATCCAATGCCTTTTGGCTTCTATGATTTCTGATGAGAAATCAGGTGTTAATCTTTGAGGATCACTTGCACATGAAGATTTACCTCTCTTGCTATTTTTAAGATTTCCTCTTAGTCTTTGGCTTTCACAGTTCGATTGGGATGTGTCTCAGTGTGGGTTTCCTTGAGTTTATACCATTTGGAGTTTAGGGAATTTCTTGAATGTATAATGTTTTTTGTCAAATTTCCAGTTTCCTGACAATATCTCTTCAAATATTCTTTCAGCACCTTTCTTTCTTTTCCTTCTGAGATTCCCATTTTTTTGTATATTGTTGATGGTGTCCTACATATCTCTACATTTCTGTTTATTTTCTTTCATTATTTTATTTTCCCCCAGGATGGATCATCTCAAGTGACCTATGTTCAAGTTTTCCGATTTTTTCTTCTGTCTGCTCAAAACTAGTTTGAGCTCCTACAGTGAATTTTTTATTTCAGGCATTGTTAATTCTCATGTCCAGAGAAGTTTTATAAAATATAACTTTAAAAATTATAAATTTAAAACATCATAAAAAACTTTTTATAATTTTTATTCTTTATTGATATTCTGTATTTGGTGAGACAGTCTTCTGATACTTTCCTTTAATTCTTCAGACTTGATTTCCTTAAATTCTTGCATATATATAGCTAAAGTCACTTTTAACCCAGGTCACTGCGAATTTTCAATTAGTTTCCAAAGTTCTGAAAAAGTTGATTTTGACCACTTTTGAAGGTGAGCTTTATTGCTGTTTTTACGGAGAGGTAGAATTTAGAATTCTTTAATTACCTGTTTTTGCTGATGTCACCATGCTATTATATAATCTTACATTTTAACCAAATAGTTAATGGAACACAGCCATTATGACAACCTCAACGAAAAATGTACAGTTATGGTTTGAAACTTTGTTTTCTGCACTCTCAACCTTTTCAACATCAAGTTGAAGAATTATAAAGGAGATGTTAGTTAATTTTTTCCTCTTACCAACACACACATGCACCTTACCAAATTGCATTACGTTTATTTATAATGCATGTGATTATCTCTGTGCAAGACAGGGAATTCTTCAATGACAGACACATGATTTGGTGGTAATTTTAAACTCTGGTGCTTATCATAGAGCCTGGCACCTAGTAGGCATTTAATAAATGTGTTTAATAATAATAAGAGTGATGAAAAAAATAGCTGCCATATATTGAGTTCTAACATTGGCCCCAGTCCTGCGCTAAGCAAATTTTTAAACTATTTTTTTAAATTGTGAAATATATAGTTCATTTCACATATATGAAAATTTTAGGGAATATTTAAACAAATTGAAATAACATTGACATACCAACAACCAAATGTTAACAGAACATTATCAGTAACTTGAATACATCTAGTATTTATCTCCATAAATCTTAAATTGTGTTAATCATTTCATGTTTTTCTTATAGCTTTGCCAACTATATATCCATGAATAATTTTTGCACTTTACTCAAAAATTCTATAAATGTAATCATACTAAATTATTTTGTATTGAAAAATCATTAATTTCTCACTAGATTATTTCATTACATGGACATATCTAAAGACATGAGCTAATATTAGTCCAGATTGTGTAGGCTATGCTGAAGTAATAAACAACCCCTAAGCCCCTAAGGGAAGGTCAAAAAGAGAAACAGAATTTCCAGGATCAAGCTGTAAGTATGCCAACTTTTGGAAGTCACGTAGAGACAAAAGAGCCAGAAAAGAAGGTAAAAAATGGTTTGGCCAGTGAAATTGAAGGAAAATTAAGAGAAAGTGGTACCACAGAAGTATGGAAAAAATAGTATTTCAAACAGAAGAGTGTGGAATATTACTGAGAGTTCAATAAAATAAGGATAAAGAAGAATCCATTGGATTTGACAACATACAGGACCTATGGTGACCGTATCAGGTTAGTTTTGGAGTATTGGTGAGAGAATGAAGCCATACAGGAGACTGTAAAGACAAACTGAGAAATAAGGAAGTAGATGATAGCACGTGTGAACAGCCCATGAAAGGAAGCAGAGACATGGCGAAGTTGGAATCTGAGAGGTGGAGAGATTTTTAAAATATTATGAACACTACGATGTCATGCCATCAAGAATAATCGTAGAGAGGCCAGTTGTCAATGAAGCAAAATGAAGGGATAACCCAGAAAGAAAAGCCATTGAGAAGATGAGAGAATAGGATTCAGAGAATAAAGGAAGGGAACAGCCTGTCACAGGAAGAGGGACATCTCCAATGCAAAAGGAGGAGGGATGGAGATGGTGTAAACAATGTTTGAGGGTAGGAAAATGAGGAAGATAAATCCCACAGCTTCTATTCTCAAGGAATTATAAAGGATATTAACTAAGAGTGGGAGTGAAAAGGTCATCTTAAAAAAGTGGGAGGGTGAGTTTGCCAAAGAGACAAAGTAGAAATACAAAGCAATATTGAGTGCCTTAGTCCATTTGGGCTGCTATAGCAAAATATCACAAACTGGGTGGCTCATAAACATAAATTTATTTCTCATACTTCTGGGGCCTGGCAAGACCAAGATCAAGGCACTGGAAAATGCAGTGTCTGGTGAGGGCCCACTTCCTCATTGACTGATGGCTGTCTTCTTCTCACTATAACCACACATGGTAGAAGGGGCAATAAATCTCTTATATAAGGAAACCAATCTTATTCATAAGGGCTCCACCCCAACAACCTAATCACCTCCCAAAGGCTCTGCTTCCTAGCACCATCGCCTTAGGAGTAAGGATTTCAACATATGAATTTGTGGGAAACAAACATTCAGACCATAGCAGTGCCCATTTGAAGACTGTGATCATGAATTTAAAGTCAAGTCAATCAATCCACTGGTGTGATTTTTTTCAGTTATTATTCACCTGCTCAAGCACAAGCACACAGAAAGAAAAGGAAAAGTTCAAACAGGAGGATTTTGCCAGGCAGACAAAAACGGCTGACATGTATTATCTAGGTTATAATTAATACTTATGCCAAATCAGAATAATGCAAAATGTAAACTATAAAGTATATAGCAAATGTAAGTGTTATGCTAATGGATTATTACTTATAATCTTCTATTTTGACTTTATTCTCAAAATCATATAATACTACATTTTGCCTGCTAGTCTTTCACTGGTTATTTCAGTTTTGACCTATATTGTACTTCTTTTTCTATCAGTAGATTTTCTAAAAACAATGAGATATATAAAAATGCTGCAATGGTCATTATTCTAGAAATAGTTTAATATTTTATTTGCAAAAAACAAGTAAAAAGCAAAATACATTTTTCCCGCTAGAAAACAAAGGAATTCTCTACTGACAAGGTATCAATCTTTTTTCACAGTAGAAATAAATTATGCAAAATTTAAGCTCTTGACTTATACTTTATTTTCTATCTTTTACATATCACATATATTCATTGAAGGAAAAAAAACTAAAAATACAGATTTTTATGCCAAAACAGATAATATATAATCAGTCTTACTCCAAAGAATCACATTAGTTATAAACACTTATAAACTTCAGACAGATGAATAGGCCATGTTCTATAAATACTGATTTGTCATATACTACATAATCTACTATAAATTTTATGTTATTGTTTTTTAAAATATTTCAAACTAGTCATATTTTTCCCTCATGCCTCAGTTTTCTCATTTATAATTTAGGAACTTATCCCTTTTTATAGATTTATCAGAAATTAAAAATTTTTTTGCTAATAAGACTTACCCTTGAAATCTTGGTAACATAGTAAACTCACATCAAGCACATAGAGATTTATTCTTTAAAAAAATACAGTGAGTTTGAATCTTCCTCATAGGTAAAGCTGTAAAGTCAGAGCCCAAATCATACTTTTAAGGAGCCACCATGGGACACACTGCCAGCTGCAACTCTTCCTCTGGCAACGTTTCCTCCATTGTTAGAAGATCATTGTTTCTTTGGGTTAGACACCAGGTAAAATCTGCAGTTGGTTGGATTTAGGATCCATATTGAATGACAACAATCTATTTTTAAACACTAAACTTAGATGCAGCTATGGCTGCCTGCCTGCCTAAACTCATCTGATGTGCTGAGCTCCCCTTGAGTTCCTTCCAGGGCACCCACAGAGTGGAATCTACCCTGCTTAAGTTACTTTTCTCCTTTTTTTCCTTTTTTGCTTAGTGTATATTTAAAATTGCACAAAAATGTGTGTAGGCAATTATATACAGTGTGCTAGAACAAAAAAGAAAGGAGATTCACTGCTAAGTACAGCAGCCGCATAATCCACTGCTCTTTTGTAACAACTCTTTAAGGATCGTGACATAGGCTAGGTCCAAAAAGCTACTAAGTACACCTACTTACATTAATAAGAAAGCAAATGAATCTTTATTACAGAGACATTTATTAGATCATATCCTCTTACTAATTATTAAGTTTAGATAAATTTTTTATATGCTATTAATTTAGAACTAGTCTTGGAAAAAAAGAAAATCCCTCAAACCTTTCATACTACGTTTTGCTTTCAGAATAGAGGGGAAGCTACAGAGCTGGAGAGGCAGCTAGCAAAGAACAGTGCATCTCTGTATAGAGGGAAGATACAGAGCATTACTATCTCAGGTTGACATGTTTGTTACCTACTTCCATATTATTGAGACCAAAATGAATCATTGGGACCCATAATGTTATGATACAAAGAAAAATGGAACTATTACATTTCAAAGTAAAGATTAATGGACTAAAGAACAAAATAATGTAGTGTTTTAGAGATGCAATGCTTTGCTATCACAATCCAGTAAGGTAATTAAGAAAGAAGTGTCTGCACTTGCTGCGGCGACCGGTGTAGGATGCTCTCTGGATCTTTGTATTCATTGACTGGATCCATCACAGCTGCATACACCTCACCATAGGCTCTGCAGACTAATTCTGTGGACTGCCTTATAATCTGCTCTCTATTGATAAACAAGCAAAATGTGAACACATCATCTGAAAAAAGTGTATTTACTAAGAATTGTAAGAACACTTCATATTTGAATCCATACACTTCATTTTCATTATTGTACACACTATTTAAAAATCACTCCAACTACACAAGTCACTTATCTTGGTTTGGGGATAAAACACAGTTTTTATATTTATTAAATTCTTCTCATTACTATGTAGGTTCCAGAGGCCAGGGACTGTTTTTTGTTCACTGTTGTAGCCTCAGGGTTAGAACAGTGCCTGATAGATACAGGATTGCTAAACAAAAACCAGAAACTGTGACCGCCTGACAATGTATTGATTTTGCAAAAGCAAATGATAATACATTAACCTTAAAGAAAGAGGCTTACAATTATTCAAATTTACGAACACTTTTTATCTCTCATAAAAACTTACAGTAAGTGGCTTTCACATATAGCTCCTACACTAACAACATGTAGATTTCTCTTTATCTCTCTGTATCATTAAGCTAAAGTGTGACACTTGCTTACAACAAATCAGAGCATTTTCAGAAATGTATATGTCTACAAAAAAGCACATAAAAGAATAGCCATAGTCTTGCAAATATTTTTAAAATTATCCAGCTAGAGAAAGACAGTATTAAATTCATTAAATCTGCACCAACTCTCTCCATGTTTTCGTGACATTAACTTCCTGTCATCTCTAGCTACTTGTACTATTCATATATCACTATACTCAGTCATGAGAACCCTGGTACTAATTTTCTGATTTTTACCAAACTAAACTAAAAATGTATCTTTCAAGCTTTACTCCTAAACCTCCTTTTCTTGTAATGTTTCCTGCTTTTGTTAATAGCGTAGTCCCATCACCTCAGTTCAGGTTTTAATGAACTCTTGCCTGGAGTACACAAAAACTCTACCTGGCCCTCCCCGTTTTAGTCCCTTCCACATTCACAGTCCCCTAGGCACTACTGTTAGAGTGATCTTTCAGAAGCATATTTTCTATCATGTCTCTCCCTTACCTGGGGCCTTCAAGGAGCTTCAGTGGCTTCCTCTGGTTTCGGGGAAGCCAATATTTCTTTCTCTACTATTCAAAAGCCTCTTACATTTTCAACATCACTACTTCAATTCTGCAGCCCAGTGCAACTCCTGACTTCTCTCTGCCCTGGTCTGACTGACCTCAGTTCCTTTGCTTACACTTCTCCATTTGCCTAGAATGCCTCTCTCATCATTTTTAAACGTCCTTTATGTTCAGCAAAAATGTTCTCTCTTATCCATGAAGTTTTCCCTGACTTTCAGAGCTACAAATAATTACTTCCTTTTTGGAACATCTACAGCACTTTTTCCTTTCCTCTTTTCTGATGTTTACCACTCCTGACAATAAAGCATCTACATGTTCTTGATTCTCAGATCCTAACAGATTGGGAGAGAGGATAGTTCCACATGAAACGTATATTAACAACATTCAATAATAAAATCCAATATCAAAATGAACTTTAAAGTTGTTTAGAATTACAGAAATATATGATCTTCGTGTCTTCATTGCCCTGTAAAACTTCAAGTAACTTGATATTGTTTATGTTCATATGTCCTGTCCCTTAAAACCGAGTATATTTTGAATATGATGGGTTCTCAATAAATAATCACTGAATGCTTGAAGAAAAATAACTTTTGTCTTATTTAAGGAGTCCCACTCTGACCTCACAAACCACCATTCTTTTCCACAGAATGGAGTCAGTGGTTATTTCAGGCCAAGCTTTTCCTTCACACAGTTAAGAATACACATACATGACTGGCCACACTAACATAACAGTAATGGAGGTAACAGTAATATTGCGTTAGTCATCATACAAGTCAACACCATGAAGTCACCATCAATACAACATATTCTTTAAGCTGTTTTTCTAGGAAGTATATATTTTTTGATATTAATAATAATAGCCAAAATAATACATTTGTAAGACCATCTGCGGAAATATCTATATCTATGGTTTTGAAAAGAACAAAAATAGCTAGATGGAATGAGAAGTTCACTTATGATGTTAGAGCGTCAGGGCCCTGTCCTGATGAGATACACACTCTTGGCAAGTTGAAGCAACTTGACATTGTCCCCAAATTGCTAAAGCTTCCTTAGTGAGAGTGGGCGGCAGGAAGAAACGCTGAGTAAATTCTCTGAGCAGAGTAGAATGATGCTACTGGCTGTACTACCTTTCTGCTAGAAGGAATGATGATAGAAACTGGTTTAGAAAACTCCTTAACTAAATGAGGCTCTAAGATTTTTTTGATCTATTGATTGGTGATCTTTTCTTATCATTAATTAAGCTTAACAATGAATGCAACAAAATGATGCAAACATTTTTTCATAAATGAAATAAGCTACATAAACTGGTATTTTAAAACTCTGTTAGCTATCATATACATTTGGAATCTATTATTCAGTAAATCAGATACTGGATTTCAGAAACAGTGTTTATAGTTCTTTATTTAAAGCAATAAGACAGATTTGGAGAGAGGTGTATAAAGCATCATTACTCACACCTAACACTCTAAATCTACACTCAAGTTGAACCCAGCATATATTTGATAGTATACAAGAAGTACACAGAAACAAGGCTATTCTTTCTCATAAGAAATTTAAAATCATAATTTTTTAAAGTACAATAATAAATGTTAAATATAATTTTTAAAAATTCAGAGTAACTGGTAAATGTAGAATAAATTATTAAAACTTCTGAAGTAGTAAATTTTAAATTTTAGTTTCAAGTCCTAATGATGAAAAAAATTTAATTTACTGAAATTTAGTTGTGAATCAGGGCACATTTCTGTTTCTAAGCTAAATTAGCTTACAAAAGTCTACCTACAACTCACAATCCAGCTTAAAAACCATTATAAGTCTACAATAGAAACGAAATAAAGCAATCCTGCTAAAACACAGATAATTAAATAAAACCAAGCCAACAAAACCAAGCAAGAGTTTATAATTTATTTTAAATGTTGGTGTGTTTGATAGTATGGGTCATCTTCATTCTGCTCCCCAATTTAAGAAGCCACTGAGAGAGGGAAGGGATTGAAAAATGAGCCTGGGTATGCTGGAGAAGATAGAGACAGCAAAGCTGGTAGGTAAAAAAATTCAATTTGTCCAGTTACAAATGTTACAGTGCCATAACAATCCAGTATTAGAAATTTCAAAAAGCTTAATAAAGACTGATATGTAACTCAATGGAAATATTATTCTCTTTTTAAAATATGCTCAAAGAAATTAACTGTATTTTAAATAAATATTTAAAACAGTGAACTGAAATGAGAAATGAACTGCTTACTTCCAAAATCAGTGAGCTTGTCATTAATCAGTACTTCAGAATTTTTGGTTACCATAACAACATGATACAATCTCCATCATTACCATAAACCCAGCATTTCTAAAAATAGCTTATTTCAACATCAGGCTCTGTGATCACTAAAATTGGGCTTTATTTTAGCATCACAGTTAAGAGTGTAATCAAATGTGCTGCAACAGAAAAGGTGACAACAGTTTAAGCCTAAAAATCTAAGATGATAATATTCTTATGAATAATAGATTGGTTTAAATTATGATTTCTCTTTATCAAACATCAAAAATGTCACAATGGGTCAAGTTAATTTTTCACCCCAGGTCAGCTTTCTTTCTCTAAGTGAAATTAAAACATGGTTTTTATGAGGCCAAGGTATATATCTCACATGTATTCTCAATCACATATGTCAAACGCCTTTGAGCATCCTTTAAAAACAATAAATATAATCTCAGCATAGAAAAGGGTTACTAAAACACAATATAGTCTAATGTTGAAGAGAATAGGTTCTAGAATCAGAAATACAAGATTCAAATCATGGCTCTGTTTATATTTATAGTAATTGTTATGTAAATTAATCCATTATCTTAAAAAGTATTTTGTATCTGTGTATCTATACAGACACTCAATTACTTAATCCTTCTAAGCAATGTCCTCTTCTGTTAAACAGAAGTCCTAGTTCATAAACTCACTGGAAATGATTAAATTAAGTAATCCATTAAAGGATCACTCTGGCTGAGATGTTCAGATCAGGCTGTAGGGGTTCGGGTAGATGGTGGTGGAGAGGGCAAGAGTGAAAACAGAATAAATCAGAGGTTCATGTGATAATCAGGCACAGATGATGCTACCTTAGACCAGAGAGGTAACTGTGGAAATGTTTAAAAGTGATGAGTTCCATCTTATAGACTCTTTCAAGATAAATATTAAATAAGATGGTTTCATAGGAATTGTGATTGGAGGTGTATTGGAGTTATTTATAGATTAACTCGTTCTACTAGTGAATTTCCCCCCCACCTATGAACAGAGTATGCCTATTTATTCAGACCTTCTTTTATAATTTTCAACAAAGTTTTATAAGTTTATTCATATAATTTTCCATATAGTAATATAATTGGGTTTATTCCTACGAAACAATCTTGTGACAATTATAATAAAACCTTTTATTTTTCATTACATGTTCTAAGTAGATATTGCTAATATATAGGAAAGGTACCAATTTTTCTACGCCAATTTTGAATCTGGCCAAGTAACAACTCTATCTTAGCTCTATTAGTTTATTGTTTGCCTTGTTTTGCTTTTGGTGTAAACATCTAAAATTAATAACTTTTGTTTATTCTTTTAAATATTTATCACTTAACCCATTATATTGGATAGTACCTCCAAGGGGAATAGTAGATATGATAGTAAGTATGCATATCATACGTTAAACTTTAATAAAAACATTTCTAATGTTTCATAATTAAGCATGATGTTTGCCATAGATTTTCAGTATTCCAACTTGATCTTATGGTATTCATCTCTAACTGGTTTATGTAAGAAATTCCAGTAAGATTTTTCATTCATTCATTTATTTTTGAAACAGAGTCTCACTCGGTCACCCAGACTAGAGTGCGCCAGAGTCAGCCTAGCTCACTGCAACCTCAACCTCCTGGGCTCAAGATCCTCTTGCCTCAGCCTCCCGAGTAGCTGGGACTACAGGCACATACCACGACGCCCAGCTAATTTTTTTCTATTTTTAGTAGAGAAAAAGTCTTGCTCTTGATCAGGCTGGTCTTGAACTCCTGACCTCAAGCAATTCTCCAGCTTCGGCCTCCCAGAGGGCTAGTATTATAGGTGTGAGCCACCATGCCTAGCCTGGTAAGATTTTTCTTTGTATCTTTTGGTCATGGTGTTTCTTCTTTTAATACAATGGCTTGATTTTTTAAAAGGATTTTTCACATTTTACAGGCTTCATATCTAAGATCTTAACTATGATCAATATAAAATACTCCCCTTTGACTTTTTAAAATAATTTTCACCTTGAATTCAGTTTTGTCTCTTAATATTAAAACTCCTGCTTTCTTTTGTGTAATTTTGTTTTAAATGGTCTCTTGCAAAGAGCATATAAGTGAACTGTTTAAAACCTAAAATGACACTCTTCTATATTAAAGTAGGCTAACAAGTTACTCACACTCATTGTAAAAACTGATTTAAATTAGAATTTGTAAAAGCAAACTTCCTTTGAATTTTTTAGTTTTTAGGATTTATTTCCTTTTTTGCTCATTCTTACATTAGCTTTGTGAATGTTTTATGTGCACTTCAAAAGAATGTATTTTCCATATGCTAAATATTCCTATTAGGTTATGATTGGTGGCATTGTTCAATTCTTTCACATCATAATAATTTTCTGTCTACTTTTTCTATCAATTAGAGAGTACTGTACTGTAATATCTAACTATAATATTTGATATATCTATTCCTCAATTCTGTAAACTTAATGTTATTTGCAGCTCTGCTATTAGATGCACATATTTACTATTATATTTTCTTTATGTTATATTGATTCTGTTACACTGTAAAATGTCCTTAACTCTGGTATTATTATCTGTCCTGTAGTCTAATTTTCCTGATATTAATGTAGCTACCCCAGCTTTATGATTATTGCTTACATGGTATATCTTTTATCATTCTTTTACTTTTAAACTATCTGCACCTTTATATTTAGAATGGATTTCTTATAAACAGCATATAGTTGGCACATGCTTTTTCACCCAACCTGACAAGCTCTGTCTTTTTTTTTTTTTTTTTTGAGACAGAGTTTCACTTTGTTGCCCAGGCTAGAGCGAGTGCCGTGGCGTCAGCCTAGCTCACAGCAACCTCAAACTCTTGGGCTCAAGCAATCCTTCTGCCTCAGCCTCCCGAGTAGCTGGGACTACAGGCATGTGCCACCATGCCCAGCTAATTTTTTCTATATATATTAGTTAGCCAATTAATTTCTTTCTATTTATAGTAGAGACGGGGTCTCGCTCTTGCTCAGGCTGGTTTCGAACTCCAGACCTCGAGCAATCCGCCCGCCTCAGCCTCCCAGAGTGCTAGGATTACAGGCGTGAGCCACCTTGCCCGGCCAAGCTCTGTCTTTTAATTACAATGTGTTGTCCTTTAACATTTACTAGTTACTTATAAGGAAGGCTGCATTTAAGTCTATTTTCCTGCTATTTGTTTTATTTGTTCTCTTTTCCTCCTTTCTCCCTTCTTTTGATATAATTGCTTTCTTTTTAACATTCTATTTTATCTCATCTACTAGCATGTTAAATAATTTTTGTTTGCTTTAGTGGCTGTTGTAAGGTTTACAATCAACCTTAAAGCAGGATTATATATTTTGTAGTTAATTTAATAACCATACAACATCACAATACTACACTTACTTCCTACTGCATCTTTTGCAATTCTACTGATTATATGTTTTATTCCCATGTGTTTAAAACTCCACAATTTGCTGCATTTTTGCTTTAAATGGTCAACAATCATTTACTATTGTATGTAGCATTTCCAGTGCTCTTTATGACTCTGTGTAGACTGAGTTTTCTTCTGGTATCATTTTCTTTCAGCTCAAAGAACTTCATCATTTCTTACAGTGCATTATGTTGGTGATAAATCTTCTCTACTTTTGTTAATTTCAAAAACATATTTATTTCACATTTACTTTGAAAGATACTTTTAAAGTTTACTATTTTTCCATTCAGCTTTTTAAAGGTGATATTCCATTGTGTTCTGGTTTGCACTATTTCTAATGAGAAGTCAGTAGTAATACCATGTTTCCTGCAAATAATGTCTTTTTTCCTCTGGCCACTTTTAACATTTTTCTCTTTATCGCTGGTTTTTAATAATTTGATTATGGTGTGTCTTGGTATAGTTTTCTCTGTCAGGGCTTATTTACCTTCTTGGGTCTGTGGGTTCATATTTTCTATCACGTCTGGAAAAAATTCTCCTTTTATTTCTTCAAACTTTTCCTGCTTCAACTGCACTATGATAATCTAATTATATGTATGTTAGATTGCTTAATAACATCTCACAATTTACTAAGATTCCATCTTTTTTCTAGTCTTTTTTTTTGAGTTTGTGGCTCAGTTTGGATGGTTTCTATTGCCCTTTCTTCAAGTTAACTGATCTTTCTCTCTGGAGTGTTCAATTGGCTGATAAGCCCATCCAATGAAATTCTCATTTTAGATCAAGTTCAACTTGATCCTTTAGAGCAGGGGTCCTCAAACTTTTTAAACAGGGGGCCAGTTCACTGTCCCTCTGTGTGCACTGTGGGCCCGGGATGAGTCAGCTGCTAAGTAGGATAGGCAGTGGTGGCAAAAACACCCAGAGGGCTGGATAAATGTGCTAGGTGGCCCATATGTGGCCCACGGGCCATAGTTTGAGGATGCCTGCTTTAGAGGCTTGTTTTTAAGCTTTTTTAGTGTGAGTATAAAGTAGCTGTGGTGGTTAATTTTAGGTGTCAACTTGACTGGACTAGGGGATACCTAGTTAGTTGGTAAGCACAATTTATGGGTGTGTCTGTGAGATTGTGTCCAGAGGAAACTGGTATGTGAGTTGATAGAATGAAGAAGTTCTACCCGCAAAGTGTGCAGGCTCCTGATAATTGGCTGGGGGCCTAAATAAAACAAAAAGGCAGAGGAACAACAAATTTATTTTTTCTCTCGTGGAGCTAAGATACCCTCTTTTCCTTCCCTTGGACATAAGACCATTTGCATTTCTTCTATGAACTGTCCAAACATACACTGACTATTTTTCCTACTGATCTGTGGGATCTTATTACATATTAAGGATAATTTGTTATGTATTTTGTAAATATTTTTCCATATTATTGTTTATATTTTAACTTAGTTCATATAGTCTGTTTCTATAAAAACTTAAAATTGTCTATAACATTTTAAAATCTTAAATGGACAAATCTGTCGATTTTTTCCTTTACAGCATCTGGGCGACCTGCCATCCTTCAAAATACATTAAAATTGCCCCAAAGAGTAATGGTATGTTTCATATGTAATAATACTCTAAACAACTTAACATTCAAATATTAAGTACTAAAATGTGGTTACATCAAAAAGAATTATACGTATTTGGTTAAAAACTTAATAATTTAAGAAGCATACATAAACAATTTGAGCCTTGGCATAACAGCTTCTTTTATGATCTCTAAGGTCTTTAGAATTCTGGTTCTGTAGACGGCATGGTATCTTTTAGGATAATAAAAGTCACAAAATACATTAAATTTATTCATTTATACCAACTACTCACCTAAAATGGGAATTTCTTGACTGTGTATGAGGGTAAACAAAAAGATCTACCCCATTTCCAGATAATTCTAATTGATATCAAATTCTTCCGCATAGTGAGCTAAAAGCTGCTTCCCTGCTCTATTTTTTATTGTAGCTCTACATTCCAGAACAATAGAAAATAAGTATATTACCTCTGTAATATACCATCCTCTTAGACATGTTAAGTATTTTCTTCAAGTTCAACAGTTCTATCCTTAATTTAATATAAATATTTGTTCACATTTAACGGACCTATCACACTATAAGCTCCATGAAGACAGTGCAAATGTCTTTTAAACCGCAACCTCTAGTGCCTTTTACATAGAAAGCACTGACCACACTGAAGAAAAAAGACATATATAAATAATATTGCCTAATTTCCTATATATAGATAATTTTGTCAATATTTTTTTTTAAATCAAGGAGGTCAGACTATATGATCTATTAGTTTCTTCTAATTATAATATCCAATATCTGAATGTATGGTTCTTTGTCCTGAGTACATTCCTGGTACATGATACTGAACAATTTTATGACATATATCTACAGAAAACCACTTAGGTGCAAAATCATCTATAAAATAGTTTATCTGCATTGTACAATGAATATATTATTGATCTTCAGTAATATATTCAAAGTCATTCTGACATGTTTGTTAACATAAGGGAATTTGGCCTATGGCTATATAGCTCCAGTTATATTCAAATTAATCTTAAAAATGATTTACTAGTTAGAGATTTTTGGAATGATAACAGGCAAGTAATTAAGTAAAGGTCAGGTCAGATCCTTTGGGATGTTGAGGCAGGAAAAAAGGTTGAGAACTATAGATCTTCAAGGATAAATCTCTTTTATTATTCTTAAAAATAAATTTTTTCCAAAAAATATACTTGATATTTAAAAACATGTGAATCTTTACCAACTATTTGAGACCAAAAATACTTACTTCACTGTGGCACTTAGCAGAAAGTTCAGCTGTGGCATTAACAGGTTGTCTGGGGCTGACAGGTAACGATCAAACTGAACCTAAATGAAACAGAAATGCAAAACATAAAGGGCATATATCTGCTAGCAAACATCTCAAATATAACCACTTCTTTCAAAGATTAAATCCTAAGAAAAAACCCCACATTTCAAATAACTAGATCGTTGTGTTCAAACAAGTGTTTCTTAAACATTCTAACTAAAACTCTCTAAAACTCCCAACTTTTTAATATAGTTAGTATTACCAATACTTACTTTTAAAATCCTGAATCCACACCATTCATTTCAGTCTCCCTGACCATGCTTTTAAGTAATAATATTACCAAGAAGTAAAGTCATCAGATTTCAAGTCCACCTTACTTGCATCTACTATTAATATATTCACTAGTTTAACTAACTTTTTGAGTAGCTACCATTAGAAAGGTACTATCTTAGGTAATGAAAATATAATAATGAGCAAAAGAGGACAGTCCCTAGCTTCATGGAGCTTATGGTCTAGCAAGAGAGGTATTAAACATATAATAAGGTATATACATAAGTAATTATAAACAGTGTTAAATGCTGCAAAGGAAAAAACTAAGATATTATAAAGCGTAAATCGAGGACCTCGTCTGTGGGTTTGGCAAAGACATCTCTGGGAAAAGGTCATTTGAAGCGAGATCTGAAAGGTGAACTGACATTGCGTAAGTGTGCAGGCGGTGGAAGGAGGTTTAGTCAGAGGAGACAGCACAGATGAAGATGTGAGGTGAGAAGGAAAACAGCTAGATAAGAAGAGATCCTATAGGACTTGTATGCTTTTTTAAGGATTTTACTTCTTATAAAAGCATTAGTAAACCATTGAAATTAAGTAGGGGAGTAATGTGACTTAACTTTTAAGAAGCTAAATCTGGCTATAGCAAGGAGACTAGACTGGAAGATTGCAATAGTGATGCAAGGACAGAAATTAGGTAGTTATTGCAGAATTTTTAGACTACAGTGCAGTTAAAGTGAAAGAAGTGGAGATATTTGAGGAAGTCGGTGTAAAACCATCAGGACTTGGTTACTGGTAAGATGAAGGGGCTGACTCGCAGATTTTGTAGCCATATAAATTAATTCACAGTATCATCATAATATATAACTGTCTTTTTAATGCACTTATTTAGTTGGATAATAGCTGCATCCTTTACTAGATTATATCTATTTTCATCCCAATTCTTAGTATGATGCCTAGAAAAATAGCAGAAACTTGGTTAATAATTGTTGAAATGATACATGAATAAATGTTCTTTGTGCTTTCTGAGTTAAGAATACTTGAAAGAGGACCTGGGTGGGGCGGAAGGGGTTAGTTTTGAATATGATGAATTGAAGTGCCTTAGAAAACTCTAAGTGGAGGCAACAGAAGCTATATATAAAACCATGGACCGCATACAAAACTCAACAAAGATTCGGTTTCAAAAGACATAATATATTCAACTTAATTGTTTTTAAAATTGAGACCAGGAACATTAAGAATTTTTAATGGGGCTTAAAAATATCTTGTGAGTTATGGACTGAGTATGTTTCAGAAGAGAAGGGGAAAGAGGGGAAAAAAACGTATTTATTGAGTACTAACTAATGTTACCATCGACGTGTGTGAACACAAATCTTTGTTTTTGGTGGGTAAATACCCTGAAGCAGAATTACTGGATAGTATGGTAAATGTATATATAACTTCCTCAGAAACTATGTCTTTTTTTAAAAATCAATCTAAAATTCATTCATTTTCATTTATTTTGATTACTTTTTAACCTCTTTGATTTCTGTAGGTTTTGCTGTTACAGTTTTTGTTTGATACAGAGAAGTCATGACTCTTACCTCTATAAAATGTCTTTTATCATGGCATAATGTTCCTTATTTATCTATCCTACTTAGTGTTTTTAAACTCTACCTTGTCTAATATTAATACAGTCAGATGTGCCTTCATCTTTGCACATGTTTAGAGCCTTATGGGCCTATCCCTTTATTTTCAGTTAAATTTAGTTGGGAAAGACAATACATAAGAAAGCCCTGGTATCAAAAAAACTATCCTAGAGAACTATTTATGAAAGTCAAACCAATGTAGTAATGAGTATGAGCATTTTAAGCTCACATATAGTAGATAATATAGTTAGTAGTTAGTATAGTAGTTCAGCTCATAGACTCTGGGAGCCAACTTCTGGGTTGAATGGGGTTGTCATGAGGATTAAAGAGTTTATACATGAAAAACACTTGGCATGCTCAGTAAATGTTAATGTGTGTTATTGTTCATTGTTATTATTACCATTACTAGTAGTACTATTAATATTATAAAGCTTCCAAAAAGGATCATTCCTATGAGAGATAGAGTTACATGACTTTAATATCATGCAATAAATGGGTAAACATACATGCAAAGTATATACTTAAAACACAAAAACATGCTCTAAGAGTGGTGCTCATGTAGAAAGGAAGGTACAAGCTTTTTGCTTGAAAAGGAGGTAATAAAGTGGAGTTTCAGGGAGCAAAATACTGTTGTAAGACTGGAATTCAATTTCAGTTTTCACCTCAGAAAGAAGTACTGAGATGCATGAACCAAGGATCATGGCAGTAGCAAGTCTATAACATACACATTGCCTAACTTCTTCATGTCTGTCATTCCTGTTTCTCCATGAAATTAGCAATTAAACTCTGAAAATGAAGAAATCCTAAAAAATAATGAAGAGACCATCACGGTATGGTAGAATACTACCATAAATCCAAGTCCTGGTCAGACTTGCTCAGTTAAAGAAATATATGTTCAGTCATTACTGGACCCAGTGTGATTGCAGCTTATCAAGAGATAAAAATTATCACACAGCCAAAAATCAAGAATAGTGCTCCATACAGAAATCTAAGCTAAAATGCTTTATTATGCACTTACCATTGCAGCCTTCAGTGCCATGGAATCTAGGTTGGGCATATTAGCTAAAGCACCCTATTTAAAAAAAAAAAGCAAAAACAAGATGTAAAAAAGGAGACAGACATTTCATTTCATACAGTCCATTAGTAGACTGCCTAAATTTGGAAAATCTTTTAGCTTATTTTCAAAGAACTCAAATGTCATCTCTTCAACCTCAGTGAACCAGGGACTATGATTTGTCAGAAGGATTAAGAAACACATAAGTTATTAACCATGGAAATATCAGGATACTTCAGATTTATTCATATCAAAGAAAAAGAGATCAATGAAGCACTCACAAGATGCCAGAGAGACATGGAGACTTGAAGGGTTTCACTTTGATTATTTTAGGAAGTACAGAAAGGCAGAAGAATTGGTTCTTATTGGTAGACATTTGCTTATACTTTAGCAAAGCAAAACTTGAGAAGTTGTGATTTGTGAAAGCCTGGAGCTTTAATATATTCTTCCTGTCAATGTCATTTGAAAGAGTTCTTTGCTTTCTTTGAAAGATGGCTTACATGGTTTTCTAGGGTTTCCACCACACCATTATCTATTTCTACTAGGGTTCTATAATTTAGCAAGATCATATGCTGGCTCCAGAAGTGATTACCTTTGCAAAGTAATGGAGCGTTACTTTGCTACATTAAAAAAAGGATGACTGCTATTCATATAGTAATCTGTGCATTCAACAAATAGTGATACAGAACTCTGAAAAATTTACCAGTATGAATATCCTTTATAGATTTTATAATACTAATTTTTATATATTTTCATTACTTTTACAAGGCAATCATCTAAAAACTGCACATCTCAATCTTCAGAACAACTCTATGACACAGATACTATTATTACCCCGAATCTACAGATGGTGAAAGAGACACAGAGAAATAAGTCATTTTCCCAGGAAAACAAAGTTAATAAGTGGTAAAGCCAAGATTCAAACCCAGAGTTCAGCTATAGAAGCCATACTCTAAACTGGCATATTAGTAGAATTAAGAACATCTACGTGCTTACCTGTTCAGGTTTATGTTGCTGGACAGTGTTATAAATATAACTCAAGCCTACCCTAGTTAAAACATAAGATGCTTGCTCATTTATAAGTGTGTCCAAATGTGCTTCAATCTAAAATAAAACAAAATAGAAAACATTTTAAAAGAGGACTAACACTGATGAGGGTAGAAGTAGACCACCCTGCTTAGCTCTTCATGGCTTCGTTCCTTGGAGTAGCACAGATAATGAGGCACAGCAATGGCTTCTATAGCAAAGGCCTTTTCTTCCCCCAAAGAGGAAGTCCTCCTCCAAAAGGGAGAGAGAAAGTCTTACTTAAAATGATAACCAAAGAGGATTCCAGGACTAGCCACCAGCCACAAAATCTGGTTTGTTTCTAGGCTCTCTTAAAAGCTAGTAATAAGCAAAACACAAACAAAAAAGACTAAGAAACAAAAACAGTATAAAATAAAATACTTAGGAAGAATTCTGGGAAGAAGACACCCTGATGTTCCTAACCTCCTGAACTCCTCACCTTTCCAACCTGCTGGACTGAGTTAACAAATCAAATATATCATCTGGAGAAGCCTGGAGGAAATCCCACTGCAGCTAAGGCAGTACATTCTCCCATTGTGCATAAAGCGGGTCTGTGACAAGCAGGGGAGAGTCGGGGCCCAGTGAAGCTTAGGTCAAAGATTTGAGGTTCAGGAACTGCCTCAGAAGATCTGGCTGGCAGAGGTGAATGGTACATGCTCCCTAGCTTCATGCTATTTTGGAGGAAGCCACTGAATGCTAATGGAGGCAAAAGCAACAGAAAGGGACTAGCCTCATGGGTTAGAACATTCCTTGTTTTTGCCAGTATAACCCTGATCGTCTGGAAGTCTTCCTTCTATTCCTCACCAGGAAGTTCCCCCAGTTTTACCAGTTTGTTTGCCAATAGTATAGTACACTGCCAACTATAGTATGTGTTAACCATCTGAATGTTTGTCATTGTCCAAGACACTCCAATAACTCCTCCCCCCAAAAAACTTACAGCTGATTTTAGGAGGTGAGTAAACTAAAAGGAAGCCCATCTGAATAATCAGAAAAAGTATCTTTTCCTAACACAACACTACTGAAAGACACAAACTACTTTCATTTTATTTAAAGTAAATGCTCAAGGAAGTACAATTAAAGCCCTTACCTACCGGACTTACTGGAAAGCAAAGAAAAACAAATATAAACACTTAATGAAAGTGAAAAAGAGGCCGGGCGCTGTGGCTCACGCCTGTAATCCTAGCTCTTGGGAGGCCGAGGCGGGCGGATTGCTCAAGGTCAGGAGTTCAAAACCAGCCTGAGCGAGACCCCGTCTCTACTATAAATAGAAAGAAATTAATTGGCCAACTGATATATATATATAAAAAATTAGCCGGGCATGGTGGCGCATGCCTGTAGTCCCAGCTACCCGGGAGGCTGAGGCAGAAGGATCACTCGAGCCCAGGAGTTTGAGGTTGCTGTGAGCTAGGCTGACGCCACGGCACTCACTCTAGCCCGGGCAACAAAGCGAGACTCTGTCTCAAAAAAAAAAAAAAAAAGTGAAAAAGAGAAGAGTTACTGCTAAAAACCAAATTAATGGTCTGGAAGAAAAGTAATATAGAGCAAATATCAAAGAAATAGATTAAAGAAATTTAAAAAGAAATTGGAGGACAGAGTCAGGAGATAAAACCAACCAAGGACAGGAGCCTCAAAATATAATATAAAAAGTGATACATGGAGAAGCAATGATTAAAGAAATAATAGAAAACTTTACTGAGCAAAAGAAAGGTTGGAAGAACCTTTACTGAGCATAAGAAAGGTTGGAATCTTCAAACTGAAATGGCTCTCCACAGTCCAAGATGGAAATAATGGAAAGAAAGACATACCTAAAAATATCCTGGGGAAATACCTGAACTCAAGAAAATCCTTTAAGTTTTCAGATGGATACACTAAGTTACCATGAAAGAGAGAGAGAGAGAGGGAGAGAGAGAGAGAGAGAATCAGACTAGCCTGGACTTTTTAAACATTAGAAGAAGCTAAATAACAGTGGAAGAGAACTAATAGACAATTGATAGAAAAGGTCTGAAAATCAAGAATCCTTTACCCAACAAGGTAAACTGTTACTCTGGAGGATCCCAACAAGCCATGCCTTCCAGTATCCATGCCCTTGTATCATCCTCTCCCACACTGAACCTGGGCTGCTCCACGTGACCAGCCTTGGCCATGGGCACATGAGCAAACACGATGCAAGGCCAGGCCTAATAAGCCCTTCCACAGTGGGGCTTGTCCTCTTGGAATGCCCTTAGACTGCCAGTGGGGTCTGGAAGGGCAGTAAGAAAATTGCTAGTGGAGCCTGGAGAAAGGGGAACCTGAATTATCTGCTGATAGAACAATTATTGAAAATGCCACCCAGAGTAATAAAGATCTGGCTGAGGAGATTTCTGGAGAAAATATTGGAATACATGTGAAAAGTTCCATTTTTTCCCCACATCCAATGGGGGTAAAAAATAAGCAAGGATATAGAGAACTTGAATAAATTAATAAACTCAATTTAACACACAAAGAAATTTGTATCATGCAGAAAATAACTATGAAACATTTAAAAAAAGCAGATAATTGGTGATAATGCAAATTAATGAACTGACATATCTGTATATCTTAAGAAAATGGCTAAGATTTAGGCTTGAAAGAGTGACAAATATAGGGAAAACATAAGATTTTTTAAGCAAAATGTTGTTAATTTCACAGAAAACAAAAATTATCCAGGAAAATTAATCATTGTCATCACATAGCTCAATGGTATTTACATAGTCATAATAATTTAACACATTTTGGTCTAACCAAATATTATAATCAAACTACATTGGGAGGTTGGAAAGCCCTAAGTATGGCCATATACGTGTGTGTGTGTGTGTGTGTGTGTGTGTGTGTGTGTGTGTGTAGAAATAAATTTTGATTATCCACAGTGCAAATTCAATACATTAGATCAAAGAATTAAAAAAACTATAAGTAGAAATACATATGCAAGCATTCAGAGTTACAAATATAAATACCAAAAGAAACAACTATAATAATTGAAAGAGACTATCTTTAAGAGGGAGAAATAAGAGAGAAATGCTGGATGGAGAGGATGGTATTTTGTGGCTTTTCACTACTCTATAGAACTATTTAACTTTAAACCATGAATATAGATAATTCTGATATATTTCTTTTATAAGAAGGAATTAGAAATTATAAAATATCATAAATTTTGATATATCAAAACTCATTCCTCAGAAAAACTCACAACTTAATAAACGAAGTTTTACTATACCCACTGTCAAATTGTTCGTATACTTGTAATAGCACAGAACTTCCAGAGGTGTTTTTTTTTAAAAAACACTATATCTACCAATAATTACTATTTAAAACTGGAACCCAAGTATCTGGTAAATTTTACAAATGGCTTGGTTTTAGTCATCACATACACTCTTAAGTGATACCATTTGGTTTATAGGACTAGAAGGATTGGTATAACAGATTGTAATGTTTTGCCTAACACTGGTTTACACAGATAAAAATATATCTATTCTCTGTAACACATTAAGCGCTAGCTACACAGCTTGAAAAATACGGCATATTATTCACAGTTCAGAAACTGAAATCTGCATACAGAATAACTGTTCAAATTAATCAGAAAAGCTTCATTCTACCATCACATACTATGGTCTGAATCAAGCATCTTAACCATTACATATTCTGACTGCTCCAAAGCTGAAAACTAAAATAGGGAATGCGTGTGCACATGTGTGTGTGCCCGTGTGTGTGTGCCCGTGTGTGTGTGTGTGTGTGTGTGTGTGTGTGTCCTTCTATCAGACTATATCAAGAGATTTATAGGAATTAGGTCATTAAAATTAATCAAGTCAGTAACTTAAAGCTATCATATAGAGAAAAAGGATTCCATCTTTTTCCTATAAAATGTGAATAATCATTTTATAGGAAAATTTACCTGAAATTGTAGCATTTCCAGACGTCTGTCAGTGAATTCAAATAGAGCTAGTGTGGTCTTCATCATATGCAGAGAATTGACCATGAATGTGGCCATGTCAGCTGTGCCTAAATTGCTGGCTGATACAGTACACATCTGGAGAAGAGGATCCAAGACACATGATAAAACCTATAAACGAAAAATAAAGTGAATTGTTTATTCCCCAATCATTGGTCCTGAGTTAATGACACTCCAAAATTAATGCCAAACTAATGGAAGGGAGCCAACTTATAGAAGCACATGAGAAAAAAATTAAATGATATAATAATAATGTAGCTTATTGAATCAATACTTTTTAAATTAAGTGAAATGATTTAATATTTGAAGGAAAATCAACAATAAGAATGGATAGAATACTATCAAAATACCTGGGTTAAAAAAATGCCAGAATTCGAACAGAATGTACAATAGAAGGGCAATAAGCAGTCACTAAAAATGAATTGACAACATACCTGCACAAAATCAGCCTGACGAGCATCTAGTGGTACAACCGAAGAATCATGAGATGCCAAAACCTCACGCAGCAACACCAGTGTCTGATTTAGTGCAGAACTTGGTCCAAGATCAGGTGGTGGAAGTTCAACCTAAAATAAAAGATGGTTTATCTACTGCTTCTATTTTTCCACTAAGTCTTAATGTATAAACGTCAGTTCACAGTAAAATATGTAAAAGATATAAAGCACTGGCTCACACATTAAATATCTATGGTTTACCAATAGCTTATTTTGAACTATACTAATTAACACAGAAAGTGATAGAAAAGTTCTTTGTCAGATTATGTTAAAATTAATATCACTTTGTACTCTAAAGTTTAATAATTAATGAGAAAAGTTAGTGTTCACCTCAATTGTAAAATCTTATTTTGATATGTATTTTAAATGGCCTATTGTTTTGGGTTTTTTTTTTTTTAAGGCTGAGTCATAAGAAAAATGCAATCCATAGACCAGTGCTATCCCAACTACAATATAATTGGGAAACATTACCCATTCTCAGACCCAAATCTAAGACATTGTGGTTCAATATGTATAGGTGTGTAGGTTGGGGGTCCAGGAATTGATCTTTCAAAACAGGCACCCCAGGAGAGTCTTAGGAGCTACACGTTTGAAAATCACTTCACAGAAACAGTGTAACATTTAAAAAAAGAAATTCTGAAGTTGAAAAGCACAATAACTGAAATGAAAAACTCACTATAGGTCTTTTACAGGAGATTTCAATAGGCAGAATAAATAGTGAACTTGAAGATACGTCAATTATACAGTCTGAGAAACAGAAAGAAAAAGAACAAAAGAAAATGAACAGAGCTTCAGAGACCTGTGAGACACCATCAACAATGTATAAATAATGGGAATTCCAGAGGAGAACAGAAAGGGGCAGAAAATATATTTGAAGAAATAATGGCAGAGGACTTCCCAAATTTTATGAAAAAATGTCCATCTAAACTTCCAAGAAGCTAACTGACCTCCAAGTAGGATAAACTCAGAGACCCACCCTGAGACTCATCAAAATCAAGCTATCAAAAGATGGACAAAGAAATAATCTTGAAAGCAGTAAGAAAGAAGCAACTCATTATTAACAAAGATTTTCAACAAGATCAACAGCTGATTTCTCACCAAAAAGCATGGAGACCAGAGGCATTGTATGACATATTCATGGGCTGAAAGAGACTACCGGCCAAAAGAATTACTTGTTCAGCAAAACTATTCTTCCAGAATTAAGGAGAAATTAAGTCATTCCCAAATAAGGACAAAGGACAAAAATTCTTCACTAGTATACTTGCCTTTCAAAAAATACTAAAGAGAATCAGACATGAGACAGTAACTCAATTCACTTGAAGAAATAAAGAACACTGGTAAAAGTTCCCATAAAGGTAAATATAAAAGACGGTTTCAAGACAGTTTCAATGTATTTTTATGTATAGGTCCTTCCCTTCCCCACCTGTCAACTGCACAAGGCAATAATTATAAATCTGTATTAACAAGCATACAATGTAGAAATATTTAATTTTAACAATAACATAAAGGAAGAGGAGAATGGAGTTATAGAACAACAAAAGTTTTGTATGCTATTGAAAGTAAGTTGGTATTAATCTTAACTAGATTGTTATAAATTCAGATGCTAATTGTAATTCCTAGGATACCAGTAAGAAAATATAACTAACCATATACCCCTGACATGTATATATTAAAATAAACAATAAAGGAATTAAACTGGTATACTAGAAAATATCCATTTAATGTTTAAAAAAGCAAAGGAGAGGAACAAAAACCATTTAAGACACACAAAAACAAAGAGCAAAATACAGACATAAATCCTACTTTATCCTCAGTTGAATTAAGTGTTAATGGATTAAGCATGCTAATCAAAAGGCAGACTGGTAGAGGAATTAAAAATACAACATGACTGAACTAAATACCATCTTCAAGAGACACATTTCAGATTTAAAGACAACAAGTCTTTAAGTAAGACAGTAAGACTAAAGATAGGTTGACAGTAAAAGGATTTAAAATAATACACCTAACTAAATACACTAAATATACTAACTAAATATACTAAACACCATCTTCAAGAGACACATTTTAGACTTAAAGACACCACGAGGTTGACAGTAAAAGGATTTAAAATAATACACCTAACCAAAACAGAGCTAGACTAAATTAGCTATATTAGCTACTAATATACTCATATACTAATATTAGACAAAATATATTTTAAGACAAAAATTATAACTAGAAATAATGGATATCTTAAAATGATAAAAGGGCCAACCCATCAAGAGAATATAACAATTAAAAACATACATGGACCTAGCAACAAAGCCCAAAAATACATGAAGCCAAAACTGACAAAGTTGAAGGGAAATATTTCTTGTGGTGAAGAAATATTTGTTTCAAGTTCCACAAATCCTCCAATTTTGTTTCCTTTTCTTCCATTAAGTTCAAATAAAGGTAAACTGAAAAAAACCTCCAGCATATGATCTATCTTTACAAAAGTACTCTACCATTCCTACTTAAGATGATATCTAGAATACTGTTAAACTGATGACAATAATGGTTAATCAATGCTATTTCTAGATGGAGCGTTTTGTGTTTTGTTTTTGCTTTCATCTCTGTGCTCTTCTGCATGGTTTAAATTTTTTATGAGTAGATGCATATCAATTAAAAAAAAATAATAGAGTGATCCCTGCCCCCTAAAAATTGAATGAGATATACCACAATGTTAATAACAGTTAAGTCAGGGAGAAATAATGTAGATGAGTATAATTTTCTTCTTTGTATTTTCATTTGTTATAAAATAAATATATATTTATTTCATAAAAATCAATGTATTCATAATTTTGTTCAAATACAAAGGCATTGCATATACATGTATGCATATATATACGTAATATAAATTGAACAGAAGATATTCATATAAAAGTTATTCAGTGTAATCTTTAGCTTAGTACAAATCTTATTAAGATTATCTAGCAATATAACAGCTATAATATGTAAATAGGCAGGCACAGAAACCAGAACAAATGTATGTGTCTTAATTTCCCAATACCTTTCATAAACAGAAAAAAAATAATCTAACAAATCCTCCACGAAAGCTTGATAGGGAGTACAATTCTAGTAGAACTACACACATTGCAGGATTAAGATCCTTAATGTTTAATGAGTAATTTTCTAAGTTATAAACTACGGTATATAGTATCTTTTGGAAGCAAAAAAACTTAAAAAAAAATCTTTCAAAAATTCACACAAGGGATTGTCAAATGCCAAACAAAAGACCAATGACTGAAATCTTATGTACCAATGAAAGAAAGTAGAAAGGAAAATACTTTTTTATCCCCTTGAATTAAGGGGTTTTTGTTTGTTTGTTTTTTAAATAGGATCTCACTACTCTGTTGCCCAGGCAGGAATGCAGTAGCACAATCACAGCTCACTGCAACCTCCAACTCTCCAGCTTAAGCAATCTTCCTGGCTCAGCCTCCCAACAAGCTAGGCCTATATATAGACACATATCAACACATCCAGCTAATTTTTAAAATTTCTTTGTAGAGGTGGGGGTTTCACTATGTTGCCCAGGCTGGTCTTGAACTCTTGGCCTCAAGTGATACTCCTACCTGGACTTCCCAAACTGGAACTAAGGTCTTTAAAAGCTGTGCAAATTTAGAATGAAAGTCACACCTTGCAATAGTTAGAGCCAATGATACAAGTAAGTGTTACTTGAACTCACATCATTTAACAACCTGCCATTTTATGAGGTGCTTTTACACACATATCAGCAATAGGTCAGAACCACACTTCCAAAAGAAAGTGAAAATTATAGCAATTTATCAGATAAACAAAGGTTTATGACTGTACAATTCTACAGAATAACAAAAAGAAAATCTAAAGAGGAGAAATATCTCCATAATAACCTTCTGTCACTTCAATTTAATTTCATTAGGTAAAATTCATTTCAAAAGGTTAAACTTTATAACAGAAAAGTCTATCTCTATTTCTTTTGAAGTCCCTCCAACATATTCATGCACTTACTCTAGATTGATCATGAGCTCCTTGAGGGAAGAGATCCCTTTTACTATGTCTTCTGTATCTCTGTATAGGCTGTGGAGCCCAAACACTAAAATTAAGTGGGCTTTGTGATTCAGACAAACTATTTATACAACAACTAGTAGCAACATTAAAGAACAAAACAAACCTTATGAACTTCATGCAAAACAATAACCACAATACAGAAATCCCTATAAGCTTTAAGCTGTGTAGCAAATCCAAATTTGTTCACATTCTACTTCCTTGGAAACCAGTCAGCACTAGCAAGTGAGTGGCAGATGCATTCTCAGAGTGATGTGACTGGGAGAAAGAAGTGTTAATATTATCACTGCTGCTTGTGCCAGGACTTGAGCTATTGATAGAAATCTTACACATTGATAGAAAAAAAGTGAAGAAAATTTGAACTTATTCCCTACAAATAAAGACATCCCTCTTTCTTATTCTGTATTATGCTTGACCTTTCCCCCCTATGTTTGTCATGATCTCAAGTTTTCTAAAATCTTAACTACAGGTGTAACCTGAAATTGGCCACACATGACACAGTGCTGAGTATCTAAAACATACAAGTACATGTTCAGGCAAGTAAACTTTGTTATAAGCATGGCAATATGTTACTTCCAGATAGCTATGTCAAAAATATGTGCCACCAACCAAGCATGTTCATGTTAATGAATGGATACAATTCACTGGTTATATTCAAAGCATACTCTCTTAGGGACAATGAGCAAACATCTCTTATTTTGTTTTGTTTGGGTTTTAAATCTAAAATACAAGACTGCTAAAATAAGATACGAAAGTGTCTACCTCAACTAGATTGCAGACTCCTTATTTCAGGGATTTATCTTATTACCACTCTATCTTTCACAGTATTTTACATAATGGATATTTAATTAATGAAAAATGTTCATTGTATAATAAAAGTATTCCAATAGTACTATGCAGGCATGTTTTGGCATTATTAATGGTATTGAACATGGAAAATGAACCCAAATGATTCATATAAAACTGGCTTCTGTATGGAGGAATGGGATTCATAAGTATAATATTAA